TATCTCTCTGCACAATTTTCTTCACTCCCAAAATCAGATAATGATAACCACTTTGGAAAACTCTGATATAAATATGTAACATTTACATTGTGTTTGAAAAGACATTAACAGCAAAAACTGTTCTCTACTGCATAACAACAACCTAATGCACCTATCAATGTAAATCCCGTGGGGGGGGGGGAGTGCGGGCAAGGGGGGGATTTGATGCCTGGGACTATCCCCGCTGTCGGGCTTTTGATCGTGTGAAGCGACCCCGGGGTCGGGACATTTGACTTTGACCGACAGAAGCCTGGTATCAATTCAGAAGCAGTTACCAAGTCCGTCCCTCGAGGCTTCCTGAAAGTCACGTTGTTGGAGAAAGGTATGAAGTTTTCATTTGTTTTAATCGCTATAATCCGATACTTTAAACTGTCATCTAAACAGATAATGTCTATTTTGAGGAAGTTTTTATCTTCAAGTTCCCATCTGATTGTAAAACTCGATTGAAATCGAATTCCACCATGAAAGTCAGAGGATTTTTTATGGGTCACTGATCCGACCTGTTCCGACATGTTGAGCAGATGTTATAAAGCATTTTACGTTTTATTGCTGCGGAGCGACCGAAGGGAGCGAGCAGCAACATAATCAGGAATTAAAGGAAATATATAAGGGGCGACGAATTCTCGAATTCATCACTTTTTACCACAATGCATTGCATTTAACCACACTTTTTACCACAATGCATCGCATTTAACCAGAGTGCATTGCGCCACGAACAACTCAAATAAAAACACAGGGAAGTTCGGTGGGTGAGAGAGTGCATCGTTCGCCGGCTCAGACTTAGAGTTTTCTTTGTGGCAAATTTTCTACAGCACGGTTAGAGGTCTTACCAAATTTTAAGACACGGAGCAGTCTTTCAGATGAGTACGATGGTTAACTTGGGGATTGGATTTCAATTCAAGAGCCTTTGACTCGTCCAGGTGTCCAGAAGATGAGCATTTGCTCTTCGACTCCGCAACACGGGGGGATATACAAATTCCAGCTTGCTAGAAGGTGATGTGAAAGTGAGAAAATGTCATGGGCGCAGTGCTATTCTTAAGAAACTGTTTGAGCCGAAAGTGGATGTGATTTTGACCACTCGCTTCAAAATAACAGCGGAAATCGAGATAACAAAACATATGTTTTGTGTCCTACTTTGCAGACGAGGACGTGTATCGGCGTTTTGAAAAGCATAATTATGTTTTTTCTTTCATTCATTGCCATGGAATATGCGTTTACATTGTTTTTTCACTGTTAATAGCTCGGTTAATGCGGCTGGCGATCATCTTGCCGGCGCAAGTTTCATAGAAAAGGAATAAAATGAAAGACTTTTCCTGAAGATTACGTAATCAGCCTCTGTGGTGCAGTGGTTAGGTGTAGTCGCGTCGAGCCGAAGGTGCAGGGTTCGAGTCCCACCGAATTCTTTATTCCTTCTTTCTTTTTTTTTCCGTTTTTTGTGTTGTTGTTTTCTATAAATATATAGCTAAATAACTGTTACTTAATAAAGTGCAACAAACAGCAGGAAAAGTATTGTGTTTCCAGAGAAAATATCGTGCACCATATATCAAATATATGGATAAACAATCTGAATTTCTATTTTTTCCTACAATTTACTGTGGGAAAACCAGAGTTGTAACTACTTGATCATTTTCTAAACAACGTTCCCACGAGTTCTTTCTATAGACTGATAGTAATTATTCTAGTACGTTCCAACATGTAAATAGGACATTCAATGTCATTTTCGATTCTTTTAAGTCTCGCTGCCTAACTAATGCCAGTGTCAACAGAATGTGCCGCAGCATTACTGTCTCTTAGATACCCTAGTTAATATTATATAGCACGGTCAATCTTCCTGGAATGATTTTGTTGTTCAAAATAAGATATGCTAGTGGAGAGAGAAAATACTTAATTACAGCGAGTAATTTAATGGAGCTTCCGTTAACCGTAAATAAAAGTAGTAACAACGTGTTTGAAATGTTCTTTTATTCGTTTTATATAGTATTATAGCAGTGTTTGTTTAGATTTTTTTCCCCTGGGGTGGGGGCTTTTTTGACACTTTTGATTGACCTTTCGTTTCCCACCCTGGGGAATTTGATCGAAAAATTTTAAAATTTGTCAAATCCCCACCCCTTGCCCGCACTCCCCCACCCCCCCACGGGGTTTACATTGATAGGTGCATAAACTGTATGACTTGTGATTAATGTTTGCTGTTGTACCTCAGTAGAGTTAACACTTTGGTTCAGGTGACCATAATCTACTTCACCTCAACAGTCAGGGGCACCCAACGTCAATTTTTGGAAAATATCTGTTCAGAAGACGATTTGAGGTCTAGCATTTTCGGAACATTTGTTGTAAAATTTCTTGCTTGCTTGCCTCTCCCAGGCTTTGTGAACATCTAAAAAATGGTATAATTGCCCATTTTTAACAGATTTTTACCCTAAAAAGGTTACATTGAATTTTCGGGAGCCATTTTTCCGGTTGAAATTTTCGAAAAGGTAAGTTTTGATAATTTTCGGATCACTAGACTTTCAGCTAGTAAATCCGAACAGACGAAAAATTTTGGGGGGATAAAAATATGCCTATATCTACCATGTAAATACTAAAATACGTTCAACAATGCTATGTTTAAGTGGTTTTAATTATTCTCGTTGGGTGCCCCTGAACAGTGCTACCATCCTTAGAATAGATTAGAAGTCACTGTTTAGTGTATGAGGAATTACCGGTATTAAAAACTAAATAATTGGATAATGATTGGTGTAGCCATCATGGTAGATAAGCCATTATACCATGCTCTCCAAATATTGGTAACTGTATGCATCTGCTTATAATTAAAAACAAACTAAAAATCAGTTGTTTTTACAAATAAAGTAGCGTAAAATTCCGAAAATAAGCCCCTCCATGTATGAGCCCCTCCAAATATAAACCCCCCAAAATCGTAATGCAAAAAAACCCTCCGTTAAATCGCCCGAAGGAATATAAGCCCCGCGGGGGCTTGTAATTGGAATTTGCCCTCGAATACAAAGTAAAACAAAGCAAAAAATGGTAAATCTCCTTCCCACTACAAGCTAGTTCAATCGATTTCCCTGCGTACACAAGCCCCTCCAAAAATAAGCCTCTCAAAAAGGGCGTTTGAAAAATATAAGCCCCAGGGCTTATTTTCGGAATTTTACGGTATTATATTCCACTCGCGCTTGTTGGGTATGAGATGATTATAGCCAACTTGACGCTACGCGCCTCATTGGCTACTACCATCTCATATCCAACACACACTCATGGAGTAAATTATTGTTAATTATCACTGTAATTTTTATCTTGCAGGTCTACTCATGATTCTCGACATTCCTCAAGAGCGCAGTTTGCTGTCCATTCATAAACATTTTGGTGATGATACCTGCCATTTTCCATTGTTCAATTTCATTCAGCCACTGCCTGTAGACTGGATGCATGTTGTTTATCTGATAATGTTCCTAGGAGTTTGTGGAATTTTTCTTGGATTCATGTTTCGCCTGAGCTGCTTTTCATTCATGATAACATACTGGTATATTTTTCTGTTGGAGAAGTGTCGATGGAATAACCATTCTTATCTCTACGGACTGACATCTTTTATGCTTCTTCTGAGTGATGCCAATCGTTACTGGTAAATGAGATACTTATTCCCTATCTCCATTCTCACAATTTTAGCAAGAAAAACGATTCACAAGAAAGTCAAGAAAATTTCGTCACACACCAGAATAATCACTATGATTCTCCTATTTAAACGTGTAGTTCGGATGGGGGTTGGGGGGGGGGGGCGAAGAGGATGCCGAGTGCTTAAATTAAGCGTAACGGGACACCT